TAGTGACTAAAACAAGTACTGCTATTTCTATTTTAAGATAAGGAAAGTTTGGCCTGATGCGTCTAAAACTAGATGAGACTCGAATGTAAGTGTTTAGTTCCAAGTCTGATGATTCCTGGTGGGCAAGTCTATCTCTAGGAGGAGGGTGTTCGGGCTTAAATGGAAAATGTCCCTCATAAGCTCGTGTATTTGAGCTCTTTGATTCCCAGATGGTAGGGCTGTTGGGGAGGTTATAAGACCTTTAGGAGATGCAGGCTTGCTTGGAAAGGGTACTTCACCGGGGGAGGGTACCTCTCACCCCAACTTCCTGCTCTCACTGTTTTCTATATGCCAACAAAAGGTGATCAGGCAGCCTCCGGCTTCTTCCATCACCATTATTGTGGACTCCAAACTGCAAGGCAAAATGAACCCTTCTATGTTACTTCTGGTCGTGGTATTTTAGCACAGTAACATAAAAATAACTAATGTAAAGGGGATGGATGGTGCTAAGATGAGTACTCTGTATAAGTGAGATGCTGAACAGAAGTACCTTCCGAGAAAAAGAGGCAGATATGGACAGAGAATGCCCCCAGTAAATATGAAAGGATGCTTTCTTCCCCATTCCTTTGCCTGTACTGTAAGCATCAATTCATTATTCTCTATAAAACAAAACCTTCTCACAGGAGACTTTGTAAGCCACTCAAGGTTCAGGTGGGTGTCTTCCACTTTAAATCCAAAATTTGCTGTTATTTCAATGTTTCTAACTCTGTATCTTACTTTAATCAGACTGCTAAAGCAAAATGTCAGTTGGGCAGTTTGGAAGCAACGGAAATTAATGGCTCGCAGTTGTGCAGGCTAAGAGGTCCAAAGTCAAGGCACAGGTAGATTTGTTTGGTGCCTGATGAGGAGTATGTGTTTCCTCATAGAGAGCTATAACCTCCAATGGCCAAAAGAGCAAAGGTCTCTCTTTGTCTCTTTTATAAGGGCATCAGTCCCATTCATGAGCCCTTCTGACTTAATCACCTCCCCTAAGCACCATTCCTTAACACTGTTAACATCAGAGTTAACATTTCAATATATGTAGGTATCAGTCTGTATTAATCTCTAGCATCTAATCTCAGCTTGGCCTCAGGAGCGGCCAGCCGGTCTCTTATAAGTGCTCCCTTTCCTAATCAGCTTCCTTTCTCAGAGCAGCTTTTCTGACTTCAGTTCCCACTGCTGACATTACTAGCCTCGTTTATCATCATTCCATTCATGTTCACCCATTCATCCTTTTATAACTGACCTCTACGGCTTCCACTGTCCTGTACCTTGGCTCTGTAGTTCATTTCAACTCTGCAGCCAAACCCAGCCCTGCAATCCTGCAGTCTCTGCTCCTTGGTACTCCAGCAACTCTCCAACTGGGTTCACTGATATCTAAACAATGCAGTGGCTCTCTGCATCCCTCTCAGCTCCTCCAGTAAGACCACTGAACTCCTTCAATGAAACCATGGTCAATGGCCAGTTACTGGGGGGAAACCTGGACTGTTTTAGCAAATTGCAGTCAATAAAAGTGATGCAGCATGTGCATTTATTGCTATTTAATACATTCTGTTGTTGTGGAAAGACATAAACATGCCTGCCTTTGTTTCTGATATAGTCCAGGAGGGACATAAACATTCAGTACACTCTGCATTATTATTATTATCTACCTGTCTGATTTCTGCACTTGCACGTAAGTTCCTTAAGGACTTGCATTTCGTCTTATTCACTGACAAGACTATCCACACATAAAAGAATGTCTAGCTTCATTATGCAGGCAGCAAATACTTCTTGGAACTAAGAAAATGTGTGAGCATATTATGAAAGTTAAGATAGAAGGAAAAGTGGCTAGATTCATGTCTCAGCGGTTAAGGGAACTGGCTGCTCTTTCAGAGGACCAGGGCTCAATTCTCAGCAGCCACATGGTGGCTCACACTCTGTAACTCTAGTTCCTGGGGATCCCAGTCCTGCTTAGGGCCTCTGCCAAAATGGTAAAGCAAATGGTACGAAGACATCAATGCAAGCAAAATACCCACGCACATTTTAAAAATTTTTAAAAGAATATACTGACTTTGACCACATGTCAATAAAAAGGTAAGTAGATTTAGATAGAGAGATATGGACAAATAATACACCAGGAACAAAAGATCTCATGTTTGATATTTATGTATTTATGCTCCATTTCCTTTGATGCGAAACTTGGACTCTGATAGTCATCTGATTGATGAGGAGTTCCAGCTATTACATTACCTCCTGCTAGCCAGCAAGCACTCTGTTCAATTAGTTGACCTGTACAACTAAAATATTGAATGTTGTAATTATTCATTCAGAATGTCCTTTAAATTTTTCTACTCATAGCTCAGGCTCTGGCTACCCCTTTATTTCCAGGCTCCTTATTTCTGACTTTTGATTCCCACTTTTCCTTCTATCACCTGCCTTTCTACCTCAACCCTTCTCAGTCTAGCTCAACCATGAATAGTTTGCAGCCCTTTCTACCTTAGTGGCATAATGCAGCTGTGTTCCCACTAACGGGCTTCAGTTCATTGGGTGGTCAGGGGATGACTTGGAGAGTTCTCCATTTAAGTCTCAGCACCCAATCTCAGCTTGGCATTGGCAGCAGCTGGGCAGGTCTCCTATGGGCACTTCCTTCCCAAGCAGCCGTTACAGCCATTGCCACTTCCCTGGAGCTCCCTGTCTAAGTCTACCATGCTCCAGCGTAGCAAACATTTCCTCCTTCCTTACTGAGGACAAGGAGACCACTCCTGCACTACGTCTGTTTCTATTTCTTAGTGTTCACTTCCCATCCGTTCTGATTATGCCTACCCCTAGTCTTTGAATTTTAGACCTGTCATCTTTTACTCCTTCGATGATGACGTCCCTTTTCCCTGGTGAATTCCTTTGCTTCGTGTTTCTTTAGCTGACATACTCATGTCTGTGTTTTGTTTTGTTTTCAATTCTATCCTTTCCTCATTTAATCATGATTAAATAAGCCTATTTACATTCTCTATATCCCCTAATACTAAAAATTACTTGCAACCAAACTATTCACAAATCTATATTATTCTGACTGCTATTAGAATACCACTGAGTTGCCTCCTTACTGATTTATAGAAAGAAATAGGCCTCAATGAGACTAAGATGTTTTACGTCACTGTGAAACAATTATTCTGGAGGTATTGTGTAACATTTAAGCTTGTGGATTCTACCTAGAATAGGAACGATCGCTAAGTATGGAACTTGAGCAGTGTTTATGCAATTGTCACGTCACTGTGACCAAATACCTGGCAGAAGCAATTTAGAGGAGGAAGAATTTCTATCTTGCATGTAAGTAACATATGATTAGCTTCCTGACTGGAAAAAGGGTATCAGTGTTCAGGGCAGTGGGAACATGTGACAGGGCAGCCACACAGCTCAACAACCAGGTAAGAAGTAGGGTTAGATACAACCCTCAAGGTCCGTCTGTAGTCACCAGTGTCCACTGTTAGGCACCAGCTGAGGACCAAATATTCAAACTCACAAGCCTATGGGGGAACATTCCACACTCGAAAGCACTATAAGCCAGGCATTGGTAGCACACGCCTTTAACCCCAGCACTGGGGAGGCAGGCGGATCTCTTTGAATTCGAGGCCAGCCTGGTCTACAGAGCTAGTTCCAGGACAGGCTCCAAAGCTGCACAGAGAAACCCTGTCTTGAAAAACCAAAACAACAACAACAACAACAAAAGCATTATATTCCATATCTTCATATATATGTGTGTATATATATGAATATAGTACTGTTTTGAAGACTACATGAGATATAATTCATGCAAAGTATTTACTGGAACTAAAACACTCTAAGCATATAAATATGTTAGCCATAATTATTGCTGTTAGGTTCTTTCAATATGCAAATTTAAACATGGTAAAATTTCGAGTGCATCAGATTCGCAAAGGTAGTTTCTTATCCTGTTGCTTAATGACTTCAGGTAAGAGACATCCAGTGTAGGCCCAGGAGTTCTTAATCATGGACAAGAGGCAGGGGCATAGACTCTATCATCCTGTCATTCGACATCTCTGCAACAACTGACACTCTTTTGAGTTCTTTTTCAACCTGTTTTGGCCTAGACTCTCTCAATTTCAGTTCTATATAAATAAAGAGGACAAAACTTTCTCCTTCGGTAAGCTGCTAAATTTGATGCCTCTTTTCTTTTCCTGCCTTTATATACTTGGAATGTGTGGTGGTTTGAAAGAAAATGACCCCCAAAGGGAGTGGCTCTATTAGAGGTGTGGCCTTGTTGGGGAAAGTATGTCACTGTGGGGGTGAGCTTTGAGGTCTCTTTTTCTCAAGTTTCCCTCAGTGTGACACTCAGTCAGCTTCCTGCTGCCTCCAAGATGCAGGATTCTCAGCTCCAGCACCACATCTGCCTGCTCCCCTTTAATGGTCATAATGGACTGAACCTCTGAAAGTGTTAGCAAGCCACTCTGAATTAAATGTTTCCTTTGTAAGAGTTGCTATGGTCAGGATGTCTCTTCACAGCAATGGTCAACCCTAAGACATCACGAAATCTTATTTGTTCTTGTGAATCTAGCCATCAATTCCTTCACTCACACAACAGCCCTACGGGCTCTAACACTTAAACTTCATTGAACAATTCTGCTTGGGCATGTCCAAGTGGACTAAAAGTCCCTGTGATCCTGAACCTGTGCCCTTCTGGTACTCTGCTTCTGGCCGGCACACCAATCCAGAACCCTGTAAGTTATGCTCATCCATGACTTCTCACTAATGCGTAACACGCAATCTGACAATTCTTCATCGAGAATCCACCCACTGAGACTCCCCCCCCCCAATAAACTATTGCTACCTTATCGTTCTATACAGATTTCCATAACCAATACCAAATGGGTCTCCTAGCTTCAGTCTCATAGGTATCACACCCATCAATCTCATATTCTTGCATATAATTAGCATATGATTAGCTCCTGGAACTGTGTCTAGTGAAAAACAGCCATGCAACAATATTTGCAGAGTGAATGAACATGTGACTAAACAAAATTTTAATATCATGGAGTTTACAATGTAGGTAATAAATCAACATTAAACAAGTATCAGGAGGTACTGGAGAGATCTTGGGCAGCATTCTTGGCCAGCAGAGACTCTTCCTTGACCAGAAGTCTCCAGTGCTAACTGGCTGAAGTATTATTTCATAGAGGGCCCACGAGACCTGCAGAGAAAGATAATTTACACAGATGGGACCCGTGAGAACAGACGCACCAACGAATTCTTCTCTTCCTTAATGATGACTCCATTCATTGATAATGGCATTTAAGCCGTTGCGGTGATTTGCACAGAAGAGTGAATTGAATCAGCTAGGAATGATGAAGGAAGGTCTATTGTGTAGTAAAACTTTCTATCATAGTGACAAATTACCTGAGAAACAATTTCAATGAGGAAAGATTTTGGCTTGGTTCCTGAATTATCAGAGTTCATGGCTGGCTGGCTTTAGTGCTTTAAGACACACGGCAAGCAGGAAATGTCATGGAGGAAAGATGGCAGAGAAAAGCTGGTTGGTTTACGGCAACGAGGAAGCAAAGAGGGGGTACAAGAGGAGGAATGGGAAGTTGAGAGCCCCCAGAGGCCTATCCCTAAATGACCTAATTCCTCTGGCTAAGCCTTGTCTTCGAAGAATTCCACTATCTCAGCCGGGCGGTGCCTTTAATTTCAGCACTCAGGAGGCAGAGGGAGGCAGATCTCAGTGAGTTTGAGGTCAGCCTGGTCTACACAGCAAGTTCCAGAACAGCCAGGAGTGTTACACAGAGGAAATCTAACTCAAAAAAAAAAAAAAGAAAGAAAGAAAGAAAAGAAAGGAAGAAAGGAAGAAAGAAAGAAAGAAAGAAAGAAAGAAGAAAGAAAAAAATCCCACTATCTCCCAAAACAGTTCCCTCTAGCTGGGGACTAAGGCTTCACCATGGTTTGTGTGTATGTTTGTGTGTGGGGGGTGGTAATACTACATGTTAAAAATCATCAGATTGCATTTCTGTTCTCACCCAAGAAGCTTATTTCCATATCAATGCAAAATGCTTTAAATTCATTTCCAAGAGTCCCCAAAGTCTCATCAGTTCCAACATTGTTCAAAGACCCAAAGGTAATGTCTTCTCTGCAACTCAAAATGATTTAGCTGAATCTCCTTGTATAATAAAGATCACATTAGTCCAGTATAAAATGGCACAGACTAAACATTCCCATTCAAAAAAGAATCCAGCTGGAGAATAGAAAATGTGACCATGGCAAAGACAAAGCCCCAAAGCGTAAATATTAAGTCTTGTAGTTCTATGTCTGGGACCTGGGGCACGTGGTGGCACAATGTTAGCTCTAAAGTGCTTGGGCAATCTTGTCCTCGTTGCCTTTCTGGTTGCAACCCATGTGGTCTTTTGTTTGTGTATGGGAAATAATATGTGTACAAACAAAGTGTGTGTGTGTGTGTGTGTGTGTGTGTGTGTGTACAAGCAGAAGCCAGAGAAAGGTTCTGAGTATCGTTCTCCACCTTAGTTCTTCAAGGCAGAATCTCTCCCTGAACGTAGAGCTCACAATTTTTGTTCAAGCCAGTACCTAGCAAACCCCAGCAACCCTCCTGTCTCCATACCCATCAGTGCTGAAGTTACAGGCACACTTGGGACATGGCTTGCTACAAAGGTGCTAGGATCTGAATTCCAATCCTCCCATTCTCGGGCTTGTATAGCAAGCATCCTTAACCATGCAGCCAACTCTCCAGCCCTGCATTATTGTCCTGTTTGTGGGGGCCAGGAAGTAGCTGGCTATGCTGCTTTTCTTAGACATTCTACATTTCTGGCATCTCCAACTTCCTGGGGTCTCCATTACATTGACTTCACACTCAAAATCACCCTCTTAAGTTCTACTTGCAGAAAAACTGACCCCGACACACTGCCTGATTTCCCCAATCTTCCTCTGAAATATGAGTGTAAGGTATTGGGTGGGTTGTTTTCGGTTTTTGGTCTTTGTCCTTTTGGAAAGTGGGGAATGAAAGAAATGTCATTAGTTTTAATTTTCAGTAACCAGTGGCTAATTACGTTGAATATTTTTCATGAACTTAAATGCTCTCTGTATATTCTCTTCAATGAACTATCTATTCACGTAGGTTTTTCCCCCTTGTTTTATAAATGCAGTATGTCCATTCCCTAACTGGATTGCTTTGTTTTGATAGTTCTTCACATTTCCTACATTCATGTTGAATATGTGCCTTCTGAATATGCCCTCCTTCTTATTTATGAAATGTTTCTCATTAGCTAGTCTTGAAAGATGCTCTTTCTATTCCCATGAAGTTCACTGATGAACCTGAAGTCAGTTTGAAAAACCAGTCTTCATTACTGTCATTATAACAGTGACTCAAGGGAAGGCAAATGTACTGCATTTAAACAGCTTGCATTTAAACTATGTAGAACAAGTACTGGGCTAGAACCTACAGCAGTGGTTCTCAACCTTCTTAATGCTTCAGCCCTTTAATGCAGTTCCTCGTGCTGGGAGGTGTTGGCCTAAGTCTTTAATCCCAGCACTCTGGAGGCAGAGGCAGAAAGATCTCTTGAGTTTGTGGCCAGCCTGGTCTACAGAGAGAGTTTCAGGACACCCACAGTGACACAGAGAGACCCTGTCTGGAAAAGCCAACAACAATGACAAAAATGCAGCTCCTCATGTCGTGGTGACCCCCAACCATAAAATAATTTCTTCACTATTGCATAACTGTAATTTTGCTACTGTTATGAGTCAGAATGTAAATATCTGATATGCAGCATATCATATCTGATAATGTGAGCCCTGTTGAAGGGTCATATGAACCTGAGGGTCATGATCCACACAGACTGAGAACCAATGACCTCAAAGTACAGATAAGGCACCGCCTGACTTCAAAGGGATAGTTCAGTAAAGAAATAGCTTTTTCATTTTTAAAAAAAAATTTTTTTACTCCATTTTACATTCCAATCACAGTTCTCTCTCTTACCCCTCCCTCCCCTCCTCACCTCTCCCCTAGCCCACCCGCAGTCCACTCCTCTTCATAGGTAAAGGCTCCCATGAGGAGTCAACATAGTCTAGCACAATAGGTTGGGGCAGGGCGGGGCAAGCCCCTCTCCCATGCATTAAGACTGAACATGGCATCCCACCACAGGGAATGGGCTCCAACAAGCTGGCTCGTGTAAGAAAGTTTTGTTTTTTGTTTTTAACAAAAATTCTACCAATCTGGCTTGCAAGCTTCCATGATAACACTCTTTCAGAGAACAACTATCTCAAGGGTGAGTCTAGCAGCTTCATGAAGGCTTCCTGGAGACCAACTTCTAAGCACAGGTAAAGGGAAGGTACCTTGGGCCTAGTTTCTGGCAGGTTCCCTTCTGACAGTGCACACACACCACACTTTACATTCTTTTGGAATGGAATCTTTCTATATTCTTTTTTTTTTTTTTTTGCCACAAATCAATAAGCAATGTATAAATGAGGAGGAGGACCTTCTCTAATGATCTTCAGTGAGCCCCACAGGGTACTCTTATTTTTTTCCTGTGGCTTCTTACCGTTGTGCAGTTATCTAGTACCTGGAGGTTAGTATTACAACAGTCCCTAGATAAATCTGAGTCTCAGTAATATCCTGGCATATTTTCTGTAGAATGAGCACATTAGAATGTCTACCCCACAGGATGAGGACTATATAAAATTATAAAGGCAAGACTTTTAAAATAGTAGCAGACTCGTGATTATAAATCCTCAATAAATGTTAATTTGCACATTACAAATTAAACTCATTCGTGTACTCCCAAGTCCATCTCTAATATTTCCTAAGTGTAGGGCTAATACTACACAACAGCAAACACAGATATGGTCAAGGATGTCTCTGAGCTAATTCCCTGGTACAAGGAGCTTATAAATGTTCCCTGATGCAGACTAAAGGTGTACTCACTATTAACGTCTGTGTTAGAAAAAGTAATTATCCACCATGAAAGCTTTAATGGGAGGAGCTGTCAGGGTACTCAGTAGTGAAGGACAAGCTTAGTATCCACAAGGCCCCATGTTCAATTTTAGTACCCACCAAGGGAAAAAAAAAAAATTGTTCAACGAAACAAAGGGGCAGTAATCAAAACCTGGGCACAGGTATGTGAGAACTGCTTGAGTAAGAACATCTTACTTTCAGATTTTGAACAGCTTAGGGTCTTCTCTACATACTGAAAAAAGCCAAGCAAGAAGTAACCAGTGAGCCAGGCATGGTGCACATGATTGTAATCTCAGCACTTGGGAGGTCCAGGCAGGTGCATCCAGTGTTCAAAGTCGGCCTTAACTGCAGGAGACTTCAGTCTCAAAACCCACCAAGGAAACAAAAACAAGTGATTGAGAAATGACCACTACCCATATTCACACACATTTTAAAATGCCAAGAGCATCTTCTCAACTCAAATTTGAAACTGAAATCCTGTGTAACAACATTAAGAGCACAAATCAATTATTCATGGTTGCACCCAATAAAACCATAATTACTTGTTGAGTATGTGAAGTCATGTTTTCATGGTTAATAAAAAAAAAGGTTAACAAGAAAGTTTCTGTAGGTGAATGATTCTGTAGGTGAAAATTGGGAAAACATTAAGGCCTTTTTAAATCACAGGGCTGAAGAGCATTCTGAAGATTGTTCAATCTAATGGTAAGGGCATCTACTTTCCCTTTTTTTTTTTTTTTTTTTTTGTTTCCTTCATTATTTACATTCATCTTTCACTTGACATTAGCACCATCAGCCTTGACAAAAACAATTTACACATAATTACTAGAATCGTGGGCAGCAGCCAGTAACTACGTGTAGCTCTTGAGCATTCTAAACGCGCCTGACCCCAAATGGGATATGCTTTAAGGGTAAAACACACATTATAGACTTCAACTGATTTTGAGAGACAGACCACGCCATTCACACATTTAACATCAATCACGTGTTGTAAGGACGACACCTGGCCATATACAGGATCAAGCACACTGAAATTAATCTCACCCGCCTTTCATTTAAGGCGGCTTCTATCACGTTTAACAAATCTCCTGAGTGGCTGGCAAATTTTGCTCGCGCTTGTTTGTAAATTGGGAGTGCACTGTCGGGAAATGCAAGAGGGGCGAAGGTGACGTGCAATGGAAGGTAGTGATTTTTCTATAAAAAAAAAAAAAAAAAAAAACCAACAAGAACTTTCTGGAAGGGGAAGAGAGAAGGGAAGCGGTGGAAGCTTGGTAGACAGACGTGCGTGACCTAGAGTGATGATGACACACTGGGCGGGGGGAGCTGGGCGGCGGGCGGGTTTGCGTTTGGGCTCTGCTTGCGCTTCCCTGCCCGGCGGGGCTGCGCCCCGGGTCCCCTTGGCCGGCGGGCCGCGGTGTTCGGCCGGAGCGCTATCCCTGAACACACCTGCGCGCCCCCCGGGGTGCGCGTCGGCGAACCCTGGCGCTGCGCCCACCCCCTCCCCCCGGATTATTTTCCTGCCACCAACCGTCAGTCTCGCACTTTTCCTCCAGGGAACTAGCGAGGAGGTCGGAGTCGCCGGGTAAGCGTCCCCCGCTCGCCCCTCGGCCCGAGCCCGAGAGCCGGGGTGGGGAGGCGAGGCCGCCCGCCCGCCCTCGCTGCCTGCCGCCAGCGGCGAACGCGAGCAGGGCCGTCCGCCGCCAGCCGGCGGGAGGGCGGCCGAGCCGGGGCCTCCGGGCCGCGGGGGGCCGCTGTGACCCGCCTCGGCCCCGCAGCGTCGCGGGAGGGCGGGAGGCGGGGAGTCGGGGGAGGCGGGGGCTTAAGCGAGAGCGTCCTCCAGCCGCCGAGGGGAGCCGGGGAGGCGGGCGCTGTGCTGCGGCGGCCCGGAGCGCGGAGGACCGAGCAGGGCCCGCCGGCCTCCTCCTCCATGCGGGCCTGAGTGAGGCGCGGCGGTGACAGGGCGGCCCGCGGCGCCTCCCGCGCGTCCTACTCGGAGCGGCGGCGGCGGCGGCGGCGGGAGAGCGAGCAGGAGCATGTCGGACAGTTTCGATCGGGCTCCAGGTGCTGGTCGGGGCCGCAGCCGGGGCCTGGGCCGCGGAGGGGGCGGGCCTGAGGGCGGCGGGTTCCCGAGCGGAGCGGGGCCTGCGGAGCGGTCGCGGCACCAGCCGCCGCCGCAGCCCAAAGCCCCGGGCTTCCTGCAGCAGCCGCCGCCGCTGCGCCAGCCCAGGACCGCCCCGCCGCCAGGGGCCCAGAGCGAGGCCCCCGCCGGCCCCGCGCGGCCTCCCCGGCCTGGGGCGCTCCCAGGTACGGAGCAGCTCGAGGGGCCCCGGTGCTCCCGGGCCAGCTTTTCCCCGCGGCCCTTGGCGCACGCCGTACCCCGGCGCGCCGAACCCGCCCCCCGGTTCCCCGAAAGCATTCCCCGAGGGGCCCGCTCGGCACGGGGTAGGAACTGGGTTTGGAAGGAGGTGGTGGCTGGAATCCTTTGTGCGCTCCGGCTGGGGGAGGGGCCGGGGGGCCCGGGGCCCGGTGCGAGGCTCTGGCGTCCCGGGAGGAAGTCAAAATCGCCTGCCTCTCCGTGGTGAACCCGGGCCCCAGGCGAGCATCCACTTCTTAACCCAGCTCCTTGAGAGAGAGGGAAAGGGGTGGGGGAAAAAGCCCTCGAATGTTCGTTTTGGAGGCAGGTATGTGTGCACTGGTGAGCCAAAGCAAGGCTATTGTTCCCATTTTGCAAGCTCTTTGTATGACTGTTAACCATCTTACATTTTGTATTTAATTCCTAAAATCCGGAAGTTCTCAGACGGCGTGTCTCAGTATGTAGTTAAGTTGTTTTATACAAAGGAACGAATACATCTAGCACTCCTTTTTTTTTTTTTTTTTTTTTCTTTCTCAGAACAAACGAGGCCCCAGAAAGCTCCACCTAGTTCACAGGATAAAATCCCACAGCAGAACTCGGAGTCAGCAATGGCTAAACCCCAGGTGGTTGTGGCTCCTGTGCTAATGTCTAAGCTGTCTGCGAACGCCCCCGAATTTTACCCATCAGGTTATTCTAATTATACCGTGAGTACATTTTTTTTTTTTCTCCTACAACTCTGTGTTAATAGTATTAGGAATAATGTGGTTAGTCTTTCACTAGAGTGTGCTGGCTGCTTTCTGTACTGCACACAGAAATTCATTGAAGTCATGATTTCCGGAATATAATTTGTAGTTGTATTCAAGGTGTTGAGTGTAAGCCTGTGAGACGAAGAATTCTTATCTGCTTGATTCACTGTTGTGTTCCCAGTACTTAGGAAAAATGTCAAGGGTATCTTCGATTTGTGAAACTAAAATCTACTTATAACGTTATGGACCAGCCTGTATAGTGAGTGACCAGGAAAGCTTCCTTTAATTCGATTTTATCAGATTGCAGAATATATTCTTAGGTAGTTCCATGAATGTTGAGAAATGCACATCTGGGCTCTATTTCTAAAGGAATTCATCCATTATGTTAAAATGATAATCTGGTTCCGGTTACATGTTGTATGCAGAACTATTGTGAAAGTTTTGGCTGTTTTTTTTTTTTTCTTTTTTGAGGCAAGCAAGGCAGTCCTCCTGCCTCAGCCCCCCAAACCTGGAATTAACAGTCATACTTTACCATGCGTCGTCATATGTAAGCAATTTTAGTAAAGTGTTTACGTAAGCATGCATCAAATAACTTCTCATGCTTTTTTATCTTTGTCAATAATGTAGCAAGTTTTGTTTTCTTAGTATCAGGAAGCACAGTGCTTGGAATATATAGGAAGAAATTTGCTGTATCTGTTAAACCCAAATGAGTCAGTGAATAACAGAGATTAACTTTAGAGAAGGGGAAGGAATAATAGTGGTGAATTTAAAGGATGACTGGTCTACCTTAGTGTGAGGCCTCACACTTAGTCTATTGAATGATAACACAGTGTGAGCTCAGCTCACTGTTAACACTCAGACAGCTAGCATCGCAGCCAAAGAGCAAAGGGTCTGTAAGCCCCGTTTATCCCTTAGAATGATTGGTTGTGCCCAGGTGTGGCCACTGGGGCTCTGTTTTGGGTTTTTTGTGTTTTTTTTTTGTTTTTTTTTTTTTTGGTAGTTCTGAAGTGTGTTCCTAATTGTCCTTGAACTTGATAGTCTCTTGCCTCACAGCCTCTCTTGTGCCGGCATATTAGAGAGTCGTTTTTCAGAGCTTACATAAATGAAGGCTAGATTGCTGCTCTAACTACATCTATATTTATATTGTAACATATAATTTGAGGTACTTATTCACAGCCCTTGACTGTATCAGGGTTCCATTTGTCCATCGATCAATGGTTAGCTTTTACTTAGGGGCTATTGTGAATAAGATCGTTGTCTCTGTTCAGGGTTAGGCACCTTTATTTCTGCTTGGTATATAAAAGTAGAATTTTGGTAGCTGACCTTAGCAGAAATAGCTGTCTTCTCTAATGAGACCATTCCACTGTACATTCTTCATTCAGAGTTTGTTATGCCTACTCAGCATATGGTATTTTCTGTTTAGGCATTCTGATAGGTATGCTATATAGCTAGTTACAGTTTCAGTTTCTGATTTTCTTCGAATTAATGATTGCATGCCTTTTGTAGTCTGTATTTGGTTCTCTTCTGTTTGACATGTGGAGAATGTGCAATTTGTGGAAATAGAAACTCCATGCATCTTTTAGAAAAGATGCTCTGGGACTAGACAGGAGAGGGTATGAATATGGCAGGGAGAACAGTTGATTGTGTGAAAAGAGCCATTAAGTTGTATTTGGTTCAGAGAGGGCAGGAACCATTAAAGAACTAAGAGTTGTTGAATAATTCAGCTCTTAAGAATGTTTACTTTGGTGATGGCATAGGGGTTAAGAGCCCTGGCTGCTCTTCTAAAGGAGAGAGTCCAGTTCCCAGCACCCACATGGAAGCTTACAACTATAACTCCAGTTAAAGAGGATATGGTACGTTCACATAGACATACATACAGGCAAAAACACCAATATACATAAAAACAAATTGTGAAAGGAAAAATTAAAAGAATGTTTACTTTTTAGCAGCCAAAATCAGTTACCCATTTGTCTTATTTTCCTTCCTGTTGACATGGACTACTTTATGATGGGAGAAATAGGTTTTTTTTTTTTTTTTCTCCCAAAGTCCTGAATACAGTTCAAACGATCCTTTAATTATGAGTGCATGTGTCTGTCTGTGGGTGTGCACAAGTGAGTGTGTTTGTCTGAGCAGGACAGAAGCCAGATCTCTTTGAAACTAGATTCACAAGATGATTGTAAGTGGCTCATGTGGATGCAAGGAAAAAAAAACATGTACATGGTAGAATTGGTACATGCTCTTTTTTTTTCCCCTTTATTTTTTGAATGATTTGTTTTTGTTAATGTGCATTGGTGTTTGGCCTGCTTGAATGGCTGTGTGAAGTTATTGGGTCCTCTGGGACTGGAGTTACAGGCAGCTGTGACCCTTCATGTGGATGTTGGGAATTGAACCTGGGTCCTCTGGAAGAGTAGGCAATATCTTAACTGCTGAGCCATCCCTCCAACCCAGTAGTACATGCTCTTAACCACTGAGCCATCTCTCTACTTCACCACCACCACTTACTTAGAATCAGTCTTGTCTTGTAGGAATTCTGTTATCTGTTAGTACATCAACTTCTCTGTTCAGTGTACCAAAACAAATGATGAACTAGAAGCTTCTTTGGCCCTTGATATTTCAGAAATTGTTTTAGCTAGTTGCCAACACTTAAGTAGGATATTGAAAATTTTATATTTACTGGTTTCTGTTCAGATCTTAAGAAAAAGCCATTGTGGCTTTTTCTTACTTCTAAAAGCAAAAATTGGTTGAAGCATAATGACAACATAATTAATAGTTCCTGGATGGCTTCCTTTGTGGTAATTCTCCTGGATTTCATGGATACTTGGGCTTGCTACCTTATCCTAATATTTTCTCAATCTTACTCAAATACACTGTTTACTTGTAGTCCAAGAAAATGTTTTTCAGTCCATTTAGTTCATGACAGAAGAGTCCTCATTTGTCCCAACTCTTCCAACTCTTCAGATAAGCTCTTTACGAGGGAAACTCTTCCTGATAATAACCATGATCTAAACTTAGCTAGATTCATTCACTGCACAAATAGTTCAATGCTACCGTGGGTCAGGCACTAGTCATGGTGTATAAAGTGGAGAAAACTGTCTCTATGGAGCTCTTTCTAGTAGTCTTCCTCCTGTTTCCAGAAATCTCGAGTCTGATCTTTTATACATAATTGGGTCAGTGAGATGGCCCAGGAAGGTAAAAGTACTTGTTGCTAAGCAGATGATCTAAGTTCAGTTCCTGGGACCCACATGATGGAGAGAACCAATTCCCAAAAGTTGTCCTTTGGCTTTCGTGCACAGGTTCACCCACAGACATATGCACACACAGAAACCTACCTCTACCTGTGGTAGTTTCTCACTGTGCCTCCTTAGTTCCTTTCGGTCTTTGTCTTCAGTCCTCCGTGTAGCCCAGCTGCTAGATTTTCCTCTTTTTATGCCGTCTTAGCAATTTATAGTACCCATCTGTCCCGGTTGCTTCTTAAGCTAATATGGCTATTATATTTAATCACAGTTTACTTACCAGTACAGAGAAATTCTATTTAGGAGCTCATAAAGTGTT